AAATAATATAGTACTAATAATAAATGTAAAAAATCATTTAAAAATGTAAAAAGTAAAAGAAAAACTGCTGAGTCGATGAAAACAGTTTTCAGATGAGACATAGAAACAGCTGATTAATAAAAACTATTTCTTACTAATCTATCAGATTAAACAGTTGTTTCTTCACAACTAAAACCTTCAGTTTGTCATTATAAAATGGAGACAAACTTATTTTCCTATAGAGAGTATTATTCTTATTATTGTTATTATTATTTAAAGATTTTTATATTGTCCCCACTGATATTAGATTTTTATCCTTCACTGAACAAATCTTTTTACAAAGACAACGTCCCGCAGCTCAACAAACTCTGATTCTCTGGATTTTCTTTCCACTTGTATCAGGACACAAAGTGTGAACTGTTAAAACAGACGAAACACCAAATAAGACAGATTCCTTATTTGTTAGAAATGTTTTCTTTGTTCTTATATTTTGATTAAAAGGCTGTTTTTAGTGTATAACTTCAGTTAATTGTGTATTTCTGCCAGTCTTCAGCTGGTTTACCCACAGACTGATGGTAAAAGAGCTGATTCTTAAACTGTTGTCAGTTTGACATCATTTAAACACGAACAGGGGAGTGATTTAAATCATGTTTACACAGGGCTGACTGTAGTTAACGTGGAGTCTCATCACTCCAAACATCCAATCATTAAACTCTAATTATTCAACTGAAGCCTGATGACAAAAACACAGTGAATTCATTAATACATTTATAGGCATTAAAACTAATAATTATTGTCCAAAAGATGAAGGAATGCAGATACACAATGTGTTTTTCTCATGTTTGTTAATTATTTTGAAGTGTATACKAAACCTCTCAAACCACTGAACTGATGAAAACAAACTTTAACAAGTATCTTTGGGTTGAAATGCACATTTGGACTCAACCCAATTCAAGATGGCTGCCAAAGCTACTGAAATGGCTCCAGCTCAGACATGTTAGCAGTTATTTGGTGATGTTTGTGTTAAACGTTGTTTTTCACACAGTCAGTTTGTAACATTGTTAACCAGTCATCACTACAACTCTTTAACATTAAGATGGCTGCTGCTGCTGATTAGCTTTACAAGCATCAGACCAGCTTTGTGTCAGTGGGCTGCACAGACACTGAGCTAACATCTGGTTGTAGCTGAGCTTGTGTTGTTGTGTGTCCTGTGTAGACAGCTGTGTAAGGAGTTCACAGACCTGCTGGCCCAGGACAGGACTCCTCTGGGTAACTCCAGGCCCAGCCCCATCCTGGAGCCCGGCATCCAGAGCTGCCTGTCCCACTTCTCCTTCATCACGCACGGCTTCGGCTCGCCCGCCATCTGCGCCGCCCTCACCGCCCTGCAGAACTACCTCAGCGAGGCCCTGAAAGGACTCGACAAGATGTTTCTCAACAACCCGCCCAACAACCGGCACGGGGACGCAGGCGGCAAGGCCGGCGACAAAGAGGACAAGCAGAGGAAATGAGGCGAGGAGAGGAGAGAAGGAAGGCACTGACGGAGACGTTTCAGTTTCTTCTAGCTTTACACCACCACTGCCCCGCCCCCACCCCGCCCCGCCCCCACCCCGCCTCGCACAAGGCTGCAGGTGGAGGAGGACCAGGAGGGCTGCAGAGAGAGAAAACCAGTGTCACACAGAGGGAGTTTCATCTGTGTTACGTTCTTTTCATCCCCCCGAGGACATGCTGGTGTTACATCCATTTAGCTCCCCCGCCTGCATCCTGTGAGCCTGAGAGGCTGTAAGACGCCTGCAGACGGTTGTGTGTGCCTGAACACAYGTTTGTCTTCACACAGAAACACAACATTGTGCTTTCAGAGACTTTGTATGTTTTCATTCTTTCTATTTATTTGACTTGTTTGTGATGAGCGTCGTGTCTTTGAAACAAGCTTGTCTGTTATTTAAAGTAAGAGGAGGTAAAGTGTTCATTTGTGTGTAAATATTTATTTATAATTATTTAAATGGATGGTTGTTTAAATAGGTTTGAAGTGGGCCTATTTATGTGATTTGACCTTTGTGAGACAGTGGGGTGGGGGTTGGGGGGGGGTCAGGACTGTGTTTTTTGTTCTTATAGAGCTGTTGTCATGGTGCTGCTGCTGATGATGATGATGATGATGATGATGATGATGATGGGTAGACATGCTTCTAATTGTCCAGTGATTTCATTTCTATCATATTGATAATAAACCATGTGTTTTATTAAGGAGGTGTGCAGCCGGTGCCTTTCCTCCGGGGGGGTTGAACTAAATGTTGAGCGTTTATTTAGATTCAGATCATTTCACTGGAGGACAAACCAAACAAATGTCAACTCGTTAACACTTCAGAGGAAGAAAAGGGACTTTATGCACGACTTTCACCAGGTTCACGGTGATATTTGGTGCGATGAGGTCGTATGTTTAATCAGAAACGCTCCGTCAGGCGCCTCACTGATGGAACCTGGTGAACCTGGTTTTATTTTGGTCAAACCTTAAAAATGTGTTGGTCCTGATGTCACCAGCTCCTCTCAGCTACAACATGTTTTATTTATCTGTGAAACTGGCTGAGCTTTAGCCAGTTTTGTGCTGACTAATGTGAAATAGTAGCAACCATCTTAAAAGTTAACATGTTTAATATAATCTGCCCTGTGGCTCTGAAGATATTTTCCTAACAGAGCTGATTTAATGTCAAAGTTTGAAGCAAAGATTGCAGTAATTGTGATTTTAGGAGTTGTGGGTGACTCTCAGCTACTTCCACACCAACGTTTTAGCTAAATATCTCAGAGCAGCTGAATTATTTGAATTATTTATATATTATATTATTTATAATGTTGATTAGCTGCATCAGTCATCTTCATCTGGATGGACTTCAACCATTTATCAGATATTTACTGATAAATCTGTGTAAATTTAATAAAAATAG